ATAATACACGCAGCTGAAATGAGCTTCCTCCACAGGGCGGCTGTGGCTTTGTGGGAAAAGCAGTCGCATGAAATCAGAAAACTGAGTTCGATTCCAGCTTGTTGATGTAACTGAGCAAGGCAGTCGATCCCAGATGCCTATGAATCTGTGTGTGAATGTGTGTGTGCATTTCTGAGTGTGATTTGGTGGCTCTTGTGGAAAGGTCTTCGAGTGGCTGCAACGACTAGAAAAGTAATTTTAATAATAATATATTTTTGCTACTGCACTCTTCATAACATGAATTTACTCAACAAACCTTCGATCCCATCTATTTGCAGACTGTGCCTTTGATATTATTCAAATGCACACTGTAAGTGTATTAATATTCTAATATTAACACTTTATTTAAACATTGTAGCATCCGTGTTAAACAACTTTTACAATATTTGTTTACGCACTGTACCTTGACTGACACTGACTATTCTTAGATATTTTTAATAACCACTCAGTATATTATTTACACAACTCTTGTCTGAATAGTCAAAAATAAATCTCTGACTGTATAATAATAATATAGTTTAATATAATTTACTGGAACATTGGTTTATTTTGATATAAGTATTTTCTTGTAAATGTACAGACATGTTGCTCTGTTCTTACCAGCTCTGTGAATATGAAAAACACCCTGTGGCAGAGGAGAAGTGTATGTTATGACACGTACGACTTCAATACTATCTCAATTTATACCAGCTGTTAAATGTGATGTGATGTCATTCTTTCGCTTACCTACTACATTAAGGCAACATCCATGAGAAAAAAATGTTTTTCTTCAGTGACAAAGCTGTTACGTTAAATATATTCCATACACAAACTTCCTTTTAAGCCAAGAACAAAAGCAAGATGTGAAAATATATCATTCAATCTGAGGAGCGTGCCAGTATAATTACACACCAGAACGACGCTTCTGTCATGGCCTTAAAGGGGATAATCATTTTCCAATTAGGTAGTTCACTAAAATCATTGATGTGATTTTGCCTGGATGGTACAAAAGTGCATGTTTTTTGTTGGCATAAATTGACACGTTTTACATTATAGAATGTTTCACAATCAACACTAGAACAAAGAAAGATGTTCTTCCTGAAACTTTCGGAATATTCAACGGGTTTGTTTACTTGTCCCTTTCCATTCCAAAATATGAAAAAAGTCAGAGTCTGTTCCATTTAATCACTTTGGATACTTTAAATAAAGAGACAGCCACAAGTGTTAGACCATAAGAGATTTAATTCACAGATAGGAAGGAAGGGTGACATCCAAACTTCGGAAAGTAAATCACATGTTTTCTGAGAGACGCGTATTTTCCACTGATTGCTGAATCTCGCTTCAGAATAAAGCAGTAATAACATCCAGGAGATGAGCCGCCGTGATTGAGCTGAAGGAAACGGCAGCCAGTTCTTCTACAGATAATTCAAGTTTAATCGGAGCCGTGCAGACGCTCGCACCACCACAGATATACTCCCAGTAGTCTAACGTTATCAAGCGGCAGCAAAAAAAAGCACAATCACGTCTGCGAGAACGTTGTATATATACTCTGGAATTACACTGATTGCTAAAGACGTTGCCTGTGATAAGAAAAAATAAGCTTGGTTTATACACTGTGGGCTGATACAACACTAGATGTATCAGCCCACATCCTGCAAAAAAAGAGCCTGATATTAATCACTCTGTGGAGGAAAAGGTGTTTCAGTTTAGAAAAATAAAGAACGGTAACTGGCTATTCACAAAATGCTAGCATGAAGGCTTATTTACTCACTAAGCTGCAAATGCATTCCCATACAACTTAATATGACAGGGTGAAACTGATAAACACATTCAGTGCAGGTCAAAACTTTTACAATGGTTCTAAACTGGAAATAATTTGTAGATTTTCTCCCAGTAAAAATACCACAGAATCACAACACTTAGACACAAGATCTAATCAGTTTTGTGGATCTGCCTTTTTTTTTCTCACAGTGATTTTTTAGTCCCCCTTAGTATATAGGGGGTGCGCCCCACAGTTTGGGAACCTCTGCACTAAATCATTTTCAGTGTGGTTGATGTTTCACACTGAAAACATCAACCACAGACTGATGGTTTGCTGTGACCTTGGTTCTCCTTGGAAAGTGTTATTTGTGTGTGTTGGTTCTCCTTAGAGAAGCCATTAGATCATTTCAAACCAAACAGTTCTGAGGATTCTCTCAGGCTGTGTTTCCATCCTGGTCCTCAGGGACCGCGTCTCTGCTCCAGCACACCTGATTCAAACGATAGCATTAGCTCCTGCATGCCATCCAGTGCTGCAGACGCCTGTTAATCACCCATTTATTCAGAGCAGGTGTGTGGCAGAAGGGAGACATGCAGGGCAGTTTTCCCTGAGGACCGAAACTGAGAAACGGCGCTGTGAGGAAACTTGGCACGATAAGGAGACCAGCGGGGAACGACATGTCATCTAGGGTTTCTCTTGATGATAGGTATGTATTCTTTGTTATTTTCCAGTTTGTAACAATAGTGTAGAAAAACTGGTTCATATAAAGCTTTGCTAGATTTTTAACCCTCAGAGAAAGAGGTTCATGTTTTACCTCACAGGTTCTGTCTGCTTGTTTCGGTCTGAGATAGAAACACTTCAGCTCTCAATATTTATTCATTTGTGCAAATCTTTGTCAATAGTGAGTATACACAAAAACCTGCATGTTTATTTATTTAGTCCAAACTGCTGGTTTATATTGCTAGAGCAATATAAACCAACTATCTAAGGGAAAGTTTCATCCACACTCCGGATGAAATAGTTGCTGGTTCCCTGCCATTTCGAAGAATACATCGACCTGACCACTTCAGTAGTTGTGTTTCCATTAAAAATGTGCGCAAAACTTTGTCAATATTCCCCTGATTTTAGAAAAAATAAATAAAATGTCATAATTGCTCTTTTTCCATTAAACAAGAAACGCATTAAAATCACACATAAATAAGTTGGTTCACGCTATAAGTCGTTAAAAAACATGTGGTGCCATAATCCTCCTACTACTTCCTGTCGTCTTCTTCTTGTTGTTTTGTGCCAGTAGCAACATCAGGTTGTTGGTCATGTGACTCATGTGATGCAGAAAAAGTGTTTCCATTGCAGTTTTGTAAAATAAACCAATTTTGAGATGACAAAAAAAAAAATTACCTCACCCTAGCGCTTAAACTTCTTATTGAAAAACAAGAGTTTTTTGTTTGTTTGTTTTTTTTCGAAATTGTCACGTACCAACTAAGTAAATGTATTTTCAAAATGTCAGATTCCACAATTATAGTCAGTGGAAATGTAGCTACTGACCCTCTTTCACATGGTAAAAAAATAAATTGTAGAATAATAAAACTTTTTTTAATTATCATAAAACATTATGATAATGTTAGTTTTTTAGCCCCTCAGCATTGAGTCTCTTCTTTCTCAGAACAGTTATATTCTGATTTATTGAGATTCACTTGGTTACTGAACATATCCATTGATATACAAATTGACCTGTTCGGCATTGAAAGTGTTATTAAACGTTACTAGATTGTCTTTTTCTCAACTTTTATTTAAGTATAAGTAAAGTATTTGATTTGTTGTGACTTCAAGGGCTAGGAGTTGTTGACATGGTTACCTTACAGCAGTGGTTTCCTAACATATTCTGGGCCCCCCAGTGGTTTCCTAACATATTCTGGGCCCCCTTATGGATTACAAATAGCTTTCTGGTTGAACGACGTGTGTTAGTTCATGTGTCACCCTTTACACATGAATCCAAACTTGGAAGTAATGACAAGTGGAATTCTATACAATATTAACTATGTTACACATGATTCACTCTTTTCTTTACCTCAGTGCACATAAGACATTACAAACATATTTTTTGCTCTGACTTTCTGATGCTCTTGTTCTTGTGGTTGAGTTATAACATGTAATGACTATATTTATTTAAGACCGTTTTTAAGGCCGTTTTTGAAAACAGGAAAAGGAATAAAATCCCTAAAAGGTCAATTAAACTTTAGCTTTAATAACATAAAACTACATAATTTTTAAAGTTTAATCAGTAATAGTTTTATAACAAATCTATGTCAGATAATGATTTCTTTTAATGTCAAGTTGTCATATTGGTGACATTTTGAATAATGTTAACTTTGTATTAAAAGTGTCATGATTTACCAAATGACACTTTATGACAACAGTCATAAATATTCATGAAGACTTACTCTTGTTCATGACAGGTGTTATGTCATGTTTATGACGGCGTCATGACAGTCTTATTCACAACCCATCAAATAAAGTGTTACTGAACAAATAGTCATACGCATCCACACACTGTTGCTCAATGGAAATGCAGTGTTGAAGAAGATTTTAGATTATAATGTTTCTTAAGAAAACTCTCTGGCTCAATCTTCTTCGATCCTAGGTTCTCCCGGCAGGCCTCGTGTAGCCACACAGAAAACAACAATGAGTGCAGACGTCACAGAATTACAGAGTTTAATCCAATAGAAGACCACGCATAAAATTACAACAGAAACCTGCAAAGACGTCTTTGGAGAATTGCAAGAGCAAATCTGATTTGTTTCTCCTGTGTAGAAAGTTTTATAGTAAAGGCGTATTCCTGTCTTTAATTTATTCATATAAGGCGTACCTTTGCTCATCCAACCAGAAGCTATCTCTGACCCTTATAAAACTCCTAGCAAGTCATGATTTAAGACCATTTGTCTCCATTGTCTAAACAAAATGGAAGCAGAGACTCTCCTGAACTCCTGCTGTTTTATGGCTTTTCACGGATCTGTGTGAAAAGCTGGAACTTCTCCTGATTGTTTTCCCACACAGATAAAGGGCAGTTCAAAAGATCTTAGCAAACCATCTGCTGTAAGTACAGGTAACAAAAAGGTCAATAGGCCAGAATAAGTTACTAATTTCAAAATTATAATTAGGCTATTTCAATCAAGACATGTTAAGTTTTAAAACTAGCATACTTTAAATTTATTTTCTTAACTGTAGAAAGCCCAATTAAAAGAAACTAACATGTTGCTTTTTTTGATAGTGGGAGAAGCCAAAGTACTTGGAGAGAATCCACATCTGCATAGGAATATCGTGGAAACTTCATGCAGAAACATCAGGTAGTGTAACAAACATGCATGCATGCATGCACTCTTTTTCAAAGGAAATGTAGTGAGCCTAATTAAAATAAACTAACATGTAAACACCTTTTTTGATGGTGGGAGAAGCCAAAACACTTGGAGAGAACCCACATCTGCACATTGGAAACTCCATGCAGAATTTATGTGATACTCTGCATGGAGTATTATGGATCCACTTTGGTGGAAGAAAGTTTGTCATGTATGCATCCATAAATGTTTTTTGAAGGGAAATGTAGGGAATGTAAATGAAACTAACATGTTGCTTTTTTTGATGGTGGGAGAAGCCAAAGCACTCGGAGAGAACCCACATCTGCATAGGAATATTGTGGAAACTCCATGCAGGAACAAAGTGTTGGAATTTTGAACCCTTGGTGAAAAGCACCAGGGCTGTGTGTTTTGCAACCCCATCTT